TATGGCGGCTCTTGGCAGCTCACATCGGCTGCCGGCCGCTCATGCTGGCTGCCGGCCAACACATGGTAGCTTATGGCAGCCCACTGCAGCAGGGGCTGCAGCCTACGCCGTCGCCGGTGACTCATGGCAGCCCAGCTCCAGGTCGAGCTGTTGCTCACCATCTTAGCTGTAGAGGGCAGTGTCACTGGCCCCCATTTGGGATCCAAACCAGGGCCCTGATGCTCAGAGATGGTGTCCCAAGCCAGCTCTTAACCAATGCGCCACTCGGCTGGCCGTGTAGATACATTTCTGATGAACCTGATTGCCCCGTGGAGTTTTGCAGTGGTGCTGTACTTGCTCTCCTTAAGGCTAATATGATTTTTTTCTGTGCTTGTAAATTTCTTAATTTTGGTTAAGGAGACACTCTTGTCGTTATAGTACAGAGATATGAATACAATGTCTTCATAGTACAGAAAATAAATTTCAAATTGTTGGCTTTTTCCCTCCTGTGATGTGCCAAGGCACCATGACAGCCCCTGAATATGGTCATGAGAAAGAAGAATGTGTTTTCATGGTTTGTGTGAATGTGAAAAAAAATAGCTTCAGTGGGCCCAGAAGTGGCCTGACTTTTTGTTTTTGAGTCACCAGCCTTATACCAGTAAAAAATACTTTAAGATACTGGTTTTCTTTTGCACATTTCCCCCAATATAGTTCTTTTTTAAAAGCACTTTTAAACTTTTTATTATGGAAGAGTTCAAATAAAAAGACAGAATAATGTAACAAGTGCTTTGTATTCACTAACCAGTGTCAACAGTTAGCAACATTCTGCCATTCTAGTCCCATCTATACCTTCATCATCCAGTCCCCACCACATCATGTTTAAAGCCAGAGTTGGTTTTACAATAGAATGGCATGTTTGTACTCCTTGCTGCATGCAAAAAGGCTTTGAGCATGTGGCAAAGTACTGACTATGTTCTTATTCAAGAAGAAATGTAGTATAGTAATCCTTGGACTTAAAGCCTGATGATCTTGCAAATGATGACAGACCTGGGATGTAAGATGTATACTTGTTAAACTTTTCTAAAAATAGCACAGGCAAGGTGACAGAAAAGTGAAGGTCATTTTCAGATGACATTGTGTGGTGTTGAGCTTAATACTATTGACATTAAACTCTCCAATAGAGATTTGGAATATATCCTCAAATTCATTTGAGACTATGTCACATTTCAAAAATATTACCAAACTAATTATAGTTCTCTGTTTGTAAAAGAACTAAAGGGTAAGATTAATCCCTGAACTCCTGTATGTTTAAAATGGCCTAAAGTTTGGTTTATATGCCATTTCCATTTTCTCCACCCTTTTCCTTTTTTTTTTGTTTGTTTCACATAGACCTTAATGAGATTTCAACAACAATAACAGTTTACAGTTTTGAGCACTGTTCCAAATGCTTTTACATAGATTCCCATTCAATCCTTGAAATAAACCATTTTACAAATGCGGAAACTGGAGCTCAGAGGCTATACAGAAAGGAAGTGCTAGCACTTGAGAGAAGGTGGGCAGGGAAGGAGGCCTTTTAGGAGATAATGTTTAAGTTGAGACAGCCTTGTGATGAACCAGGAGCACTGCAAATGAAAAGGCACTCAGGTGAAAATAATCCTGTTGCATATGCGAAACAAAGGGGTTTGGCTGGAGTGTGGTAAGCTCGGGAAGATGAGTGGATATGAGATAGTTGTCTTCCCCCAATAAATGGTTAGCTCCTGAGAGCAAGGCTCTTGTCTGCTGTCAGTGCTGTATCCACAGTGCTTGGTACGCTGCCTGGCATGTGGTAGGTGCTCCATATTTGTTGGGTGAATCTAGATGGAAGGTTGGGGCAGTTTCTTTGGAACAGGCAGCCTAAACCACGACCCTAAAGCCATGTATGCAAGTCAGGCTTATGCCACTACCTGTCACTTGTGGCCTCTTGACAAGCACTAAGTCTTAGGTCCATCAAGGTCAAGTGTCTGCTTCTCCAGATGACCTGTAGCAGATTGGAAGCTGCTGTTAAGGGTTGGCAGATGTCAGGAAATCTGTGGGAGCTCCCCTCAGTGGACTCTTTGAGGCTGGTCCTTAAGGAGCGAGTCTTTCCGTGGATCCCCAAAACGGAGAAGAAACTTGGAGTAATTTAGTCTGGTTCCTCCTGTGGTTGGTCATCTTTAAGAAGGGACAATAGCTCTTGACTCCTTGCCCTGAAGAAGACTCCTATGAAGCAGCTTTTAAAAGTTGCCCTCTGGGGGGGCCGGCCGAGTGGCTCAGTTGGTTAAGAGTTAGCTTAAGAGCGCGAGCTCTGAGCAACAGGGCCATCAGTTTGATTCCTACATGGGCCAGTGACGCAGCGCCCAAGCTGAACCCCTGCTGGGTGCCAACAGACAGCAGGATGGTTCAGCTGGTGAGAGCACGTGCTCCTAACAACAAGACTGCCTGTTTGATGGTGGGCTATGCTCACCCGCAACTAAGACTGAACTCAGCACCTTGAGCTGAGCTGCCACCTGGATGGCTCACTGGATAGAGTGTGTGCTCTTAACAAGAAGGCTGCTGGTTTGACTCCCGCATGGGATGGTGGCTACGCCCACCCACAACTGAGATTGAACACAGCACCTTGAGCTTAGAGCCCACGAGCTGCCAATGGGCTGCCTGATGGCGACTGGCGCCCTCCACAACTAAGACTGAAGAACAACTTGGCTGGTCCCCTTCCCCAATTAAAAAAAAAAAAGAAAAGTTGAGCTCTGGGGGAGAACAGGGGAGGGGTGACTTCCCTCCTTATGAGCATCTGGGCACTCACAGGTCCTCTTCCTCTCAGGCTCTCCCTGGTCCCCTTCCTATTTTACTCTTAAACCCAGAGATGACTATAGTATGGCCTCAAACAGGAGCTCTTCCTGTCCTGTACCCAGACTCTTATTGAAATATAATCTGGGGCCCATTGGATCACTTGGAGCAGTTTTTACGGTCATTTGACATGTGTGGTGCCAGCTAGGATGCTAGAGGTAGAAATCAGATTGGCTTTAGGAGCATGAGGACCTTAGTGCTGACTGCACTGCCTGCCTGTTGTGTGACCGTCGCCAAGTTGCCCAACTTTGAGTCAACCCACCCCCTACCACCTTACAAAAAAAAGGCATCAATACTCGCTTTGAAGATTAAATGAGCTAAAATATGTAATGTAAATATTAGCTTTGCAGTCATCTTTCTGTTGTCCTCCACTTTATCACTTTCTTCTTCATGGTTAGTTCTTTTACTTAGTTATTCCCTGCAAGCTTTGTATTCAAAATCCTGTTTATTAATAAAGCTGTCACTGCAGTTCTGCCATTATGTAGACTATGACTTAAAATAGTGATTTGGTGTGACTTATTCTTATCACTACTTATGTTCAGCCTCTATGTAGTGATGTTATCAAATGCCCTTTTATTAAATGGTTGAAATAAGTGACACACAAGGATGCTATTTGTGTTATTGGGAGATTTTTAAGTCTGTGTGTTTTTGCTTTTCAGTACCAATGAAGGACAAGAAACTCATGGATGTCAAAATAGGGGAGCTGCCAAAGTGGATAATGATGCGAGATTTCACCCCTAAAGGCATTGCTGGAGCGTTTCAAAGAGGTCAGAGCCTTATGGACATATGTAAACAAAAGCAAACTTCTGGGGATTCAGGCCTCTTTTTGCCCTGAATTAATTTGGGTAGTAAAAGCCTTGTCTCAGACCAGTAAGTTATGTAGAGGACAAGGAGATTGTTAGCCCTTGAATTTCCACGTTTGGTTGGTCCTTTCAAATCCTGGCTCTGAGATATTTCAGCCAAGAAAATGTTTTCTATTGCTGGGAATCGGTACCACTGCCTTTGTCTTAAAGAAACGGAAATGTCTGTGAGCATTTTTACATCACAAAACTGTTTTAAGAGGAAAATGAGTTTGAAACATAGTAGACATCAGTCTATAATATAGTACTTATTTCCCTGCCAGGGAAAACTTCCATGATGAATATTTGAAGTGGTCTATCCAGGTCTGCATTTTAAAGTGCACGACTACTCAGATCAGTCCTGTGGAACCTATGTCATCATTCTAGGAATAAAGACCCAGATCACCCCGTGGGGGCCTGTGCTATCTCCAGCCTCTTCAGGGGCTCTCCTGTTTTTCTTTCTAATTCTGGCCACCCTGTGGCAGTCTTGTGTGTGTCATGTTTCTTCCTGCCGAGGCCTTTCCTCAGTTTTGCCCTCAGATTAGAATACTCTGCCTTTTCCCCACACTTGTTATAATAGTTCCTGACTCCTCCGTGGAGGTGAATGTGGCCTGTTCATGCTCACAGCTCAGTGCAGTGCTCCTTCATGGCAGTCCTCACTGTTGTAAAATATGGCCTTCTATGATCATTTCATTCTTTTTCTATCTACTAGGCCCTGAGTCCCAAGAGGGCAGATACTATTTGTTTCTTCACTGGTAGGCGTACCCAGTAAAGACAGACGCATGAAGCCTTCTTTCTCCCTGAGGGCCAGGCTGATCCAGACGGCCACAGCCAAGTGGCCCTTTTGGGGGTTGGATTCTTGGTCAGAATTAGGGTAAGGGGATTCCCCAGGGCTTTGTGAGGTATGATCAAAGGCCAACAGGCTGCGCCAGTCTACAAGATCAAGGTCAAAGGGTAGGAGCAGTATCAAGGTGGGCCTAGCAGCAGTTTGTCTTGGGCTTGTGGGGCATTTGTGCTTTTCCCTTTATCAACCAGTCAACGTAGGGTGACTGGCTAAGAGAGCCAGAGTAGGACTGGGTCCATATATTTCAGCCAGACTCCACTTTGTGCGAAGCATTCCCAGCAAAGCAGGGCAATGACCTCCTTTCTTGTTTGCAGGTTATTACCGGTATTACAACAAGTATGTCAATGTGAAGAAAGGGAGCGTCGCTGGGGTTTCTATGGTGCTGGCAGCTTATGTGCTTTTCAACTACTGCCGTTCTTACAAGGAACTCAGTGAGTGTCTGTCTGTTGGTGTCTGCCTTCAGTGGGGTTTCCTGTGAGAGGATGGCATTGGTTCATGGTCAGATTTAGAAGTCCATCATTATACTGATAGCTGAAGAATTGGAGGGACTTGTCAGAATACTCGTATAGTATACAGGAAATTTTTTTAAGTGAGAAAATTGTGGCAAAGAGAAAATAAAGATGGGAAAAATAAGTTGAAGCTGGGGTAAAGGTTAATACTTAGGAATCATTCTGTAAGATACTGCCGGCCCTGTGAAAGATTGGTGGACATTTTGGCTTCGTCTTCCTAGCAGCCAGTGCAGAGGGAAATAGGCTGAGGGGTACAATCCGGTTTCTGCGCAGTGCTCTGGAAAAGCGTAGCTGTTCTTGGTCCTGAGACCTGAGAGGAGCTTGTCTGGTGGGAGATGCTGGGTGGGAACAGTGTCATTGATAGCCATTGACTGATTTCATGGGCTGTTTCTGACAGTGTCCAGCCCCCTGCCCGTCTGTGGCATCCGGGGCAACGCTGAAAGACTGGACGGGTTCTCGGGGGCTGGTTGAGTGGATGTTCCTTATGGAAAGGAAAAGACTGGTCAGGTGGCAGATGAGCATCTGAAGTGCCTTCATGTCCCCAGCTCTGCTGAGACACTGGCAAGCAGGTTCTGGGTCATTTCCTGAAAGGAATTCTCAGGATGGCTTTATGTGATTTTAGCCTGCTGCCCTCCCTGTCATCGTGTGCTTTCACTGTACCGCATAAGAAATTTAACATTTTGCCTTTCTAACTTCAGAGCATGAGCGGCGACGCAAGTACCACTGAAGAGGGCTCAGTGTGGAGGACACACTCTGCATTCCTGACCATGACTTTTGCCCAGTACCCCTGAATCCTTTGTTGACACATAATAAAAGATGAGCTGACCGCTTCTGGGCTGCTTCACTGGTTTAGCCATTTCCCTGCGCTTCAAGGAGCTCCCCGTGCACAAGGTGGGATGAGATTACTCTACCACTCCCAAAGGGGGACTGTTAGACAGCCCAGGGCTGAGCCATGAACCTTTGATGAACTCCCTACACCACCACTTTGGGATCTTTCCCAGCTCATTAGGGTGGTGGGTGTCATCTAGCACTGCCCTGTCGTTTCTTTGCTCTTGGCCTTGAGTGTCCTAAGCACTTTGGGCCTTTTGTCAGCTGAAACTTGTACAGTATAAATCAGAATCCCTGTGTTCCCAAGAATGCCTTCCCCTCCCCAATCTTTCTGCATTACCTTGTCTCCAGGAAGCTCAGTGGGATGATCTCAGGGAGGGAAAGCACAGGCCCTGATAGCTCACAACTGTTCCTGTATCCAGCACTCTTCCTCACCCTTCGTCAAAGGTCTTCAGGAAGGTGACGTGAAGGCCAGAACTTGTTAAGGGGTGCACGTGGCGCCTCCTAGAAGACCCGACATATCATCCAACATGAGATGCAAAGACCTGCCAGGTGGCTGTTCCAAAGGCCAAGCTTCCAGACATTTCCAGCTGCCAGTAAAAAGACCTTTCTTTCGCTGGCAGCATCAGTTGCCTTCCTGAGATGTACATTTGTTGAAAGGGGACAAGTGGGTACCAATATCAAAGTTTCATGCCAGGCAGCTAGTGCAGCCAATAGCAAGGCCCTCTCCTTGGCATGGAGTCCCTGAAGTAATGAGACATAGCTTAAAAAACAAGCTTTAATCAACTTCATAAAAATTGTCCTTGTAATTGAACTTGGATAGGCCCACTTGCCCAGCAGGTTCCAGGTGATGGTTTCACATTTCCAGGCTCAGGACAGGGTGGTCTCCATAGGCCAAAGTTGTCTGATAGTCTAGACACTTGATGGGGCAGGAGGTAGGTGCAGAGAGGGACTGCGTCATCTAAAGTGTGGTCTGCAGCTCCAGCTGAAGGTATACCTTAAACACTGTCAAGCAGGTACCCCAAGAAAATAAGCCCAGAGGAAAAAGACCCTCACACATGAGAGCCTTGCACCCCTCAATTGCTGCCACCTTGGAGCAGGGCCAGGCTAAGCAACAAGCTCACTTGAGTTTGCCCTGAAGGGCTGCCTCGTTCAAATCACATTGATAGGCACAGCTTCTGAATTCAGCAGGACATGGAGGAAGCAGGCATGACCTGGCCACAGTTTTAATGATCCACCAGCCCCTGGAGTCACTGAGAACTGGTGTTTAATGAGGCCCCAAGGGGAAGGGCTGTCTTTCACACACAAGTGCTTAGCATAAGCCCTTCCCCACAACTTCCTCCCCTCCCCAGAGGGTGGTGGTCAGGGAGTTCCAGACAGGAAGTGTTGATGCCTAGACAAACATGATGCTGACTTGGGACAGAGCTGGGGTACATGTCCCATTTAAAAAAAATAAAATACAGCAAAATGATAGGGAAACTGACGTAGCCCCTCAGTATGATAAACCCCAGTGTGCCTGCCTGTCAGCTCCAGCCAGAGTTACACCAACACTGGCATTAAACAGTTAAATGCACGCTCCCAAGGATGGCCTGGAGTGGTCCCCAACAACAGGGCCCTTGGGCTGCTTTGAGCTGGCTCCAGCTGCTGTCACTGTCCACTGAGAAAGGCCAAATGCCCTTTGGTGCATCTGTTGGCGTAGTGTCCTTTTTCACCACACTGGGAAGAGCAGGGAGGAGACAAAAACAAAAAACACGGTTTCAAATGCAGTTTTCAACTAAGGCAGCGCCCACCAAATAACAGGTTGAGAACAGGGACTCTGAAATTCTCAGTGGTACAGATTTTCATCCAAATATGAGGAAAGGGAGCTCCAGAAGGTATGGTGGCACAGAAACTGCAGCCAACAACTTGTCAAATGGAAGAGAAACTTCTCTGTGGCCAGCGGGTGATCTGAGAGCAGGGCGCTCCTGCCTGGCAGTCACCTGGGGCCTGCCCACAGAAGGGCTCTCAGTGAGTGGCAGGTTGAAGAGAAGCCCATGGCACCGAGCTCCCTCACCTGCCTGGGGACCAAGCCCCTGTGCATGGCTGGCCAGTCACTTACCTCTAGGCACCATTCTGGGACTCCTTGGAGACATGAGGGAACAAAGAGAAGCCACGAGGCTCCTCCCCCAACGTGGGGATTCATTGCTGTGGACACTAAGGGTAGGCTGCACCCGGGGTTCTCCCTCTTGGCTCTTGCACACCTACCTAAACTACCCCTGGGGACAGGTTTCAGTCACAGGATCAGAGAGATGGGACAATGGTTAGACTTGGGTGAACAGACCCAGTAAAACCCGGTGCTCTCAAAAATCTAGCACCAACCCTGATATGTCCCGGCTCTGATTATCCAGTCCCAGCCTTAGCTTCCCCTCATTCTTTCTTGTTGCTCCTCAAAAAGCAGAACTCTCAGAAAAGAAGCAAATGGCAGCCTCAAGTACTGAACGAGGGGTCCAGAGGTGGTAGGGGCACCCACTCTGCGCCCTCCCAGTCTCTGGCTGGGAATGTGGGGCTCTGCTTGGTCACTGCCCAGAACTCTTGGCCGCTCTTCCCCTGACCCTGCCGTCCCCATGTCTGATCTGTGACCTTTGTGTGGATAAGTGTCCTACAGAGTTGCCAGTTAGTCCTTTGGCTGATGTGATGACCAGAGGGAGGGACTGCATGGGCTGTTCATGGCACTTGGCATGTCCATCAGCCTCCGCAGCCGTTCTTGAGGAATCCAGGATTCCCACCAGGTGTCTTTAATATTAACTGTGAAGCACCTCTGGTAAGAAGAGATTGGCAGGTCCCCGCCCCACCTTTCTAAGTAAGGTTCCAGGACTTAGGAGAGTTTGTGTCACAGAAGCCCTGCTGAGGAGTCCTGCTGTGGGGGAGGGGGGGCAAGATAACAGCTACGCTTCCCCAGACACCTAAGTTTGCTCACTGTACCGAGAACAGACTGGTGAGAAGCTGTGTGCTATGCACAGTGCATGCACCCCCATTCACCTCACTTTCTTCACACCCTCCTCTCTCTGCTTTCCTCACCTGTTAGGGCTCAGGCTCCAAAATCTGAGGTCTTGCCTGAATCCATGTGCACTTTGGGCACCTGCCCCTCCCAGGAACACAAACCCCTCCCAGGAAGGAGCAGCAGCAGCCTGTTTTCTCAGCAGAGCTGGCACTGTAGGTGCTCACTGAGGATCTGATGGCCATGGGCTTTTCCATGAACATTTGAAGTATATGCCTTTGGATTCGGACCTTCTACTTGTAGGCATGCATGCTACCGACCTCCTCAGACAAGAGCTCACAAATGTCTAAGTGCCACATGCAGCACTGTTTTTAGCAGCAAAAACTATAATTGTCTACCAATAGAGAACTGGTAAAATAAATTGTGGTTATATTATGCAGTCACTGAAAAAAAGATTAGATTTACATACACTGATACAGAGATCTATGATATATTGTAAAGAAAAGAGTATAGACTATTATACATACTAGGGCCCTATCCTTGTGCGTATGTGAATAGAAGTTTAGAACAGCAGTTCTCCAAGTGGGGTCCTCTATAGGGGTTTTGGAGGGTAAAGGGGTACCAAAGTCAAAAAACATGAGAACAGAACACACTGAGTGAAGTGGCTCTTTTAGGAAAGGGGGGGAGTAAGGGCAACACTCACTTTGTATCCTAAACACTTCTATATCATCAAAAGTTTTTACAAAAAGCATGTACTAACTTTGTATTTGATCTAACAATTCCCGATCTGAAGTCTTTGAGTCTAGTCTTTGTAAAATTGTTTCTGCTAACTCACTTGGTGGTGCTTGTTTCCTTCTATGTTTTGTGATTTTTGTGAACTCATTCTTTGGAACTCTAACTGGGAATTTTGTGTGACGTGGGTTACAAATAAATTCCTCAGAGAGCCAGATGCCAAGAGCCCATCCATCTGGGGCTGTTTTAGATTAGAAAACTAGCTTTTTAGCTCTCACCAAGGGCATGATACAGGCCCAAACTCATGGAAGGTCCTGCTAGTGACTATAAACTCTCAATGGACTTGCCCCTACCCCTTCCCATCCAGAGCCAAGAATGACACACAAGTTTCCTAGTGGGTTTTTAAAAGTTACCCTTTCCCTGAGCGTTCTATTTTATGTATGTGTGTGTGTGAATAGGGGGCAAGAAGGGTATTCTGATTCTTCTTTGTGTGGGCCTAAAGCTTTGTCCCTTTCCCTTGAGTGTGCCCACTGGGATCTGATGACAACCAGAGGCCTCAGGGCTCATTCTCATCCCTGGATTTGTGCTTCCACTTTGTCCCTAGCCTCTGAAAGATTTCCCTCCCTTTTTTGCAAGTGCTCTCCATTCCTTCAACAGCGTCTGTTTAATCGTTCACCTGCCTTGGTGTGCTGTGAAAGGAGATAAGATGGTCTCGAGCCCACCAGAGTGGCCCACTTTTATAATCAGCAAAAACAAAGATTTTTCATTTTCCAAAATTAACTATCTGGGGAATGAAGGCCACTGACTGTGAAGACCCCTCTCTACTCCCTAGCCCCAAGACTCACCTTGTAACAGGTGACCTGCTCCAACGGCCGGGGTCCCCGGTTGCCTGCACTGCTGTTTTGACTCTGCATGACCCCGATGACCTGCGGGGTTCTCTGCTGATTGGGAGAAGAGTTCTGACTCGTTAACTGGATCAAGGAGGACGACCTTTGTAATGGCGGATTGTTACTTTGCTGGAAAGAGTTACACAACACGGTTTTACTGCGGAAAACACGTGCACGCAGAGTACCAATGGGGCCGGGAAAAAAGAGGGCAGGACTGCTCCCACATGGCCAGCAGGAAGAAGGGCTTCCATGGCGGCCCCGCTCAGGAGAGCAGGCAGAAAAGAAACATCTGGTGATGATGGTAGGAGCTGCTGCCCGAAAAATACCATGCAGACACACAGAAACGAAAAATAAAAGAAAACAAAACACCAAAGAGACAAGGAGGTCTCTGGGGCAGTGGGGCGGGGGCATGAGCAGGCCTTACTTTTGTTTCTGAGGTTCTAGCTTCAGGTCAGGATGAACGCTTGGTTCAGCCAGATGTTTAGCAGCCTACACGGCGAGCAACAGTCACAGAAAAACAGTTGGAGGCTGACATGCTGACCTGGGGTCTAGGGGCTGAGAGGGCCCTCCACTACGGAGTCATGTGAGCAAGGGTGATGGGGGCTTCTAGGGTGGGGAGTGGACAGCAAGGCCAGCTCCCAACCAAGTGGTTCCTGGCTCTGGCCCCCATTAGTGAAGGAACCCTGAGCTAGAAACCCCAGGTTGTCATGGCTGCACCCACACCCAGGAATTCTCAGCTTTGCTGACAAGGAATTCCATCTGATCTGCCCCACAACCTCCTGAGGGAGGGGGTCAGTGCAGCAAGTGCGGCATATCTCCACCTGGCTGTTCAGCCTCTAGCACTGGGGAGGGCTGGGTGGGGCTTTGGCAATGGGCTCAGTCCAACCAGGTTAAGAGGTAAGGCTTCAAGATTAGTAGGCGGGTTTATTCAGCCTGTTGAGACCCTGCCTAGCGCACTGGCCAGCCCTTCCTCTGGATCTGCAACTCCCCACCCCCTTAACCAAATCTAGGGTACCCTTGGTTTCAGAGGGCTGCTGCAGATTCCCATTTATCTATGGCATTTTCCTCTTTCCTCCTGCTTGAATCAGCCAACTGCTGGGTTGTAGGACCCCTTGTCTAGAAAACTGGAGCCAGCTGGTCCTTTAGCCCTGTTCCCAGCCTTCCCTACAGTAAGTAGGGAACATCCACACAGAGCGGTCACAGCACTGGCCAGAGAACCAGCCAGCCTCAGTTCTGCTACCAGATCTGCTCCTGCCCCGTGTGGTGCCTCAGGCAAGCCCCTCCCTCTACAAGTATCAGTTCCCCCATTTGTAAAGGGAAGGGTCTGAACCAGAAGCAAGAGCAGGCAGCAGACGTGGCACCCATGCTGCCTCCCACTCTGGCTCCTGAGGTAGGCTCGAGGTAGGCACTGCTGAGCTGCCAAGGCACTCGCCAGGCAAGGGAAGAGAAGCCAAGTGGGAATTCGGCTCCAGCAGACAGCCCTCCATCTCTAGAGGGAGATGCAAGCTGCTTTGCTCCATAAATTTTCTGCGGGAACTCAGGGTGATTCCCCTCCTGTCGCGCCTCCTCCTGAGCCCTCTCACAGGGTCTCCAGCTGGGTCTATGACAGACTGCGCACTGATGCAGGCACTGAGTTCTCTGTGCAAGGGCATTGCCAGGGCTGGCAGTGCCATGGTGCTGAGGAGGGGCCAGGACACGGTACCTTTGTCGGAGGCTGCGTCTGCTGCGGCAGTGGGGGCTGCTCGGTGGTTCCCATCGGCAGTTCAAATCGAGGGCTGGTCACCCAGCAGCCAGAAGGAACGAGAACAAAAGAAGGAGAGATGAAAGAGGAGCTAGGCCGGGCAGTATTACGGCCCCAGGAAAATCAGCCAGTCTAGTCTCTAAGCACAGAGCAACATGAAGCACCTGGACATGGCGTGGCTGTTGGCTCATCTCTGCCCCCGAGGCCACAGGACAGTGGGGAGAACAGAACTGACACACCTGGGCTCAGACCCAGCTCTGCCACACCTGGCTGAGACCTGGGGAGAGTGCTTCTCAGAGAAACGAAGGAAAAAAATTTTAATTTAAAATTTTTAATATTTAAATTATAAACCAAATGTTGGCAACCATATATAGTCAGATTTGCTATGGATAAATTAAGATTGTGAGGTCATACTTTGAAATGCAACTTCACAATTAGTTTAAGTAAATAAATACATTTCTTCAGAAATTGTATGATTTCCTTCAGTTTATAATTCATGATACAGAAAGTTTAATACCACGTTAAATAATTAACCATCTACCCATCTAAAAGTAAACTACAGAAAACTGAATCACTTTTAGGACCAAATAACAACAAGGCTTTAGTGGTTTTTCTTGAGTATATATAAATCTTGAAAAGGTAACACTGTTAGCTGAGCTGTAAAATCCATAACAGTTTTGCCACAGTGCACAGATTAATTCTTTCATTTTGCTTCCCTGATTCCCTCACTAAGCAGCTTTCAGGTTAGAAACGGAAGACAGAAAATCATACATCCTACAGGAAATAGTGAAGATAGTGATTAAGCGTCGGTACTGTCAGAAGGCACGAGCCTGTTCCGTCAGGGGCTTTGCACATGGGACCCCCTTCCAATACGCAGGGTCCCAAAGTGCCAGACATCCTCTGCCAACACAGACTCCCCAGGGGACATGCCTGCCTGCCTCACAAACAGGAACCCCTGGGCCACCTAAGGGCTCCTGGGCTCTCATCTAGGGAGCAGGACCAGGTCAGCAGCCACCTTCCCACTGTGTGGCAGCAACCAGGACACTGCTCCTGTACAGGTGTTGGCAGTGCATATGGAGGCAGCACAGGACGGGGAGACTGCTCTGGTCCCACTGCCACCCTATCCCCTCAACCACCCAAAGTGACAGATGTGCACTGAGGCCGAGGAGAGGAGCACTGAGTACTGCTGGGCAAGAGCCCGGCTTCAGAGGCCCACAGACCTGCCTTTGACCAGGTACCACCACCTACCACCATGCAAACCTGACCAGTGGCTAAGTTCTGAGCCTCAGTGTTCTCATGTGTGAAAGAGGACATTCTCACACTTGTGAGAGTTACATGAACTAGCATATGGGAAACCCCAAGCTCAGCACCTCTATACAGGAGGCCTTGAAACTGTAGTTCCTGTCTTTTAGGGCACAGGTTCTTAACCTGAGGGCCCTAAGTGAAATATAAGGCTATGTGGGCATGAGTTTTCTGGAATACAGGGCCCATAGCTTTCATCAGATTCCCAGCTGGCTGTGACCCAATAAAGGTTAAGTGCTGGTCTAGGCAGAGCCACCTCTGGGCTCAGGAAGCAGCAAGGGTCCCCTTCCCACACATCCCCACCCGTCCCAGGAACTATGCTGACACCACCAAGTGACCAAAGCCCAATTAGACTCAGGAAAGATGTAGAGAACAGCAGGGCCTGGGGCATGAGTGGTGTGGGGGTTGGGGGGGTAGGGACTGGCTACTCACTGCATGAATTTACACGAGGGCCCCTCTGGGCAGAATCCCACCAGGTAATTCACACAGATGACTCTCCGCGTGTGCCGGTGCCTACACAGGGGACCTGTGGAGCCAAGCGTTGGGTCACTCAGACCATCCCCTCTTCAGGGGACACCCTCGTGACCCTCTGTCAGTCAGAGCCCTGTCCAAACCACCGCCTGGGGTGCAGAGAACAAGAGTAAGGCTTCAAATGTTGGCTTTGCCTCTTATTCATAGGGGACAGTGGGCAGGAAACACCCTCTCTAAAATACTAGTTTCCTTATCAAAAATGCAAGAGAGAATGCAGCCCACACAGAAGCCTTGGCAAGCTCAAATGAACTGAGGGTGTGAAAAAGCCTCACTAGCCCCCAAATGCCTAACACCAGGTTTTGCTGGAACAGGCAGGACAGGCAGAGGGTCATGTGGGCAGAAGAAGGGAGGACTGGCCTCTTGCCAGGGGGCCCAGCCACTACAACACCTACCGTGCTTGCAGAAGCCACGGTCGTACCAAGGGCAGTCCTTGATCTTGGACTCGGGGTCGATGTGCAGGAAGGGGCACTCCTTGTTGCTGCACTCTCCTGCAGGGAAATCCAGACATGTGTCCACCTGGGACAGCTCTGGGAGAGCTGGACCCAGACCCACCTCGGCTTCTCCCAGGGCTGGGGCCCGCTGTGTGGCAAAGAGGGCCAGGTGGTTCTGGAGTCTGGTCCTGGCCTGGTGAACCGAGACTCAGAGCAGAGGTCTGAGCTTGTTTCCTGACTTGTACGTGGCTGTGAAGGTCCTCCCCTCACATGTGTCCATGCTGCCACGAGAGTCAATGACACTGCCAGCCAGGCACACGGTGTATACTCATCAAGTAACTCATGGCTCCATCCCTTACCCGAAGGGGGTGTCCCAGGTACCATGACATGCCCAGATATGCAAACGCACCAGTTAAAGCCAGGAAATTACTATTCTACAGGGATCAGCTCTTCGCATCTACTAGCTGGGATGGGAAAGGTCTGAGGAGTCTACCTTTTAGGACAAAAGTAGGGAAGATTTGGGAACTCAAGGCTGGGTCCTGTGGTAGAACACAATAAAGCCTTTATGACGGCTCCTCTCAGAAGCAATCGGCCCAGCTGGCCACCAGCACCTTTCACCCAACTATGGTTCTGCCACCTCCATGCTTGCCGTTTCCAATCCACGTTACACATGAAGGCCAATCAGAGAAAATGCAAACTCTTTCCCAGACCCACAAGTCCCTACATGGTCTAGCCCACCCTCCCCAGTCTTTTCTTCCCCTCCGGCCACACTGGCCCCCTAGTTGTCCCAAGACTGTCCCCTACTTAGCCTTCAGATCTCAGCTTAGGTCTCACCTACTCAGAGGCCTTCCCAACCATTCTGCCTAAAGGTGATTTCCTCATATGGTTCCATCACTGTTTATTTCCTTCAGAGCACTTATCGTGAACAATTCTCTTCGTCTCACCAGCTGCCTGTCCCCTGGGCTACTACAGTAAAAGCACCATGGGGCTGGGAATGGGTCTGTCCTCTTCACCACTGTCTCTTAAGTGCCTAAAAGGGGAACCCCTCACCTGTGTCACCTGTAGCACAAGTGACAGAAGCTGCAGACAGTGTGCACCAGCACAGGCTCTACAGGGGAAGGAGGGAACTCAGGCCAGCCTGTAGAGGTGCCCTTGAGAGTCTGCCCACGAGGGCTCACTCCCACCTTTGGGGCCAGATGGGAGAAGGCTCTAATGGAGAAGCCACTGCTTCCTTCCAGTGCTGGTTCCAGTGCTGCCATGGATAGGAAGAGAGGGTGGGGAGCTGGGAAGCCTGAGTCCTATTTCTGACTGTGCTTTGACTTCTCAGCTTGTGCTGCCTCTACAAAAAAAGCCACAACTATCATTAATAAGCCAGCAGGCCAAGCCTGTTGGGCTGCTGAAATAATTAACATCTCCTCTGACAACAGTGCTTTGAAAGTGTGCGGCAGGCCCAGTACTCCTTGGCCCACACAGAGTACGGCAGGCGTCCAACCTCCTGCCAGGCCCCCACACAGGGCTGGGGGATGGCAGTCCTGGGGCCAGAGCCAGCCCTTGTCCTGACCAACAGGGCTTATTCCTGGGCAACCTCGCCCAGAGCAAAAAGCCGGGGGGGGGGGGTCTAGTGCCACCACGGAGCACAACAGCTCAAGCCCTGTGCCAGCCCACCGCCCTCAGCCCGTCCCCACTTCTCAATGCAGTTCACTCAGGACAGCTGAGGCCATGTGATCTCTAAGCAGGGATCAAGGCAATCTCAGTTTCAAGGTGAAAAAAGGGCTCTTTGCCACCAGAAAACAGCCCCCCAGACCTGCTATTCTTAAGGGGTATTTAGGATAGACAAAGCTACTACCTGGGATGACACTCCCAGAGAGAAGGAACCAACTCGGCCCGGGGGACAATCAGTCGCCACGCTGAAAGAAGAAGCTGATTTAAGGGAGGTTGCTTCGGCACTGCTCACTCACCCACTGGGAGACCTTCATTAGTCTCAACTTCCCAAAGAACCTGAAAGCACTCAAAAAACTGAAGCACTACAAAGATGTAGGGATTATTAGAGAATAACTATAACTTCCCATAACTGAAGGGCCAGCTGAGGTTGTAGGGCAGTGCCTAAGGTTCTCATCTGAAGCTGGAAAGATGGCAGATGGCAGATACTGTGGGTCCTGAGCAGCTGCTGAACTCCGCTGGGTCTTGGTTCTCAGTAGAGCCTCCCCAGGGCTACTGATGCTGGGCGTCTGGGTGGAGGAAGAGGCCTGGCCACACACCTTACCAACTGCCTTACCGAACTTTGAGTAGAAATAACACTCAGGCATCTTGGTCATGTCATACTCGTGCAGGAACTCGCACTGGTCCCCCTTCTTACACAGCCCCCGCAGCCAGTGTTTGCACACCACTGTCTTCTCGCCGCTAATGTGGCGGAATGGGCACATGCCTCCTGCCAAGGAAGAGATGGGAGTATGAGAAGAGATGCGGCACTGAGCCCAGGGGCACTGGGCCTGGGGGAGCCAAGGTGCCTTCACCCCACACCTCCCTGAAGCACCTGAAAGCAGCATGTCCTAGGAGGTGGTGGATGTCCCTGGCAGAAGGCAATGTGATTTTAGGCAGGACATGGGCACACATTTTAAGTTTAAATAGCTATGTATTTTAATGTGTTTTGGTAAAATCTAACTAAAATCAAATAATGATTTCACAGATATTACTATAAGAGGCTTAACAAGCCTAAGGGTGATATGTTGGAGGCGGGGGTTGTTGAGTTTATTTCTTAAAGAATGGTTCCAGCAGTACACAGACATGGTGAAAATTACAGGAAGTAGTTAAAAAAAGACTGGGGTTTGGGAAACACAGCCCTAAAAGATAGAAGGTAGAGAGGACCACTAGAAGCCTGGATTCTAGGCGGGCTCCATCTTTAGTTAAAGGTGCCCACTTAGCCTCCAAGAACTAAGAAGATCAAGTACAGAATTAAAGAAATGCATTGTATACAAACTGGGGAGGTCTGCCTTCTGCAGCAGGGCCTGAGTGATTATCCATCCAGATGCGACAGAGCCATACTCTGGGAAAGTCATATATCTAAATAGTGGCCTGGCAGGACTACTGGGAAGGCCTGACTAGAATGAGGTTGTGACTGGAAAAGATCTAGACCCATCCCATTCCTGCATTTCTGCAATGATGGCAATATTCTATATTTATGCTGTCCAGTATGGCAGCCAGTAGCCACACTTGGCTATAAAACACTTAAAATGTGACTAGTGTGATTGAGGAACTGCATTTTTATTTAATTTTAATGAACTTAAATTTTAATAGCCACACGTAGCTAGTGGCTACTGTATTAGTTTACAAAGAGACTGTTATATTGCCTGTGTTAAGGACAGCTTGCTAACAGATGGTGGCAGGTCAGAAAGGCAGAGTTACCAAGTAAGGACGTGGGAATGAAACCAGGAGCCCAGGGGCAATGATGTTCCAACTAGACAGCCAGAGGTCAACCAGGTTGATCGACCTGGTAGGTCTATTGCTTCAGTTGTAAATGGCTGAGTTATAGAACCAAAACTTGCCAAAATCAGTCATAAAAAACAATCTTGCTCTAATTCTGTGCTCCCTATTTAAGCTTGTGATTAAAATTTAGTTTCCAAATAAATTTGCTTATAGGAAGAAAAATGCCCAGACCTATATATGGTATGTAAGGGCCTACCCAGCAATACTTCTTATGAATTCATGGGTAGATAGTCTGGCTCATGCAGCCTCTTTTGGGGCCTGATTAATATGAACATGACTCCACGAGACAGACTATCATGGGTTTTTTTATGAGAGGACACAGAGGACAGTGAGCCTATGTAGACTATGTAGAACCAGAAAGGCCTGGGTTCAAACACTGGGCTCAGTCACTCACTGTGATCTTGAGAAAGTTCCTGAGCATCTCAGTGCTAGGGGCCTCTGTTCATGCCATAGGTCAGCTTGTGGCCACAGGGAAAGTGAGGTGAGAAGGCCGAGTCAGAGCCAGGGTCCGTCCTGTGTTTTAGGTTTCAGGCAGAACACCCCATCATGTTCCTAGGATATCTAAACCACAATTTCATCTAGGGACATTGTTTGTCTGCAGAAAGCAATGTAAACTAGAGATCTGATGGCCTCCGAATCTGCAAGGGGGTAGGGTGGTGGAAGGCACCTCTGGAGGAACATCCCCCAGAGAACCAGGGGTCTCTTACCTTTGCCACAGGCCGCTTTCAAAAAGAATTCGCAGACAGCAGCCCCCGATTCTGTGGACAGGAGAGAATAGGAGAGGCATCAAACAAAGCAAGGTAAGATTGCTACTGGTAACATCTGAAGATGGGGGAGGGAGCCCTTCTGGCCTTTACCCATGAAGGGTTCATGGTACAGGTAACAGACTGGCAAAAAAAACGGAAAGCCAAACCAAGCAAGAAAAAAGTTGCTTATTTTAGTCATTTCCTGTAAAATAAGGCATACTGTTGAGAGTAGTCATTACTCAGTCCTGAGAGCCTCCTATAATAAAGATGCTTTCAAGGAGTTAAGAGTGTGTGGGGGAAGGAAGGATGGAGCACAAGATCACAGAAATTAATTACACTGTGCTTGGACATTCCAGAGGGCTAATTTAACATGAGGCAGAGGGAGGGAATGATCTCACAGGAAACACAAGTGAATGTGGACTCTTGAGGAGGGACAGGCTCCAGAGAGATGCTATTTGGGAGGGAAGAGCATAATCGAAGACACAGAAGTAGGACTGCTCTTAATATGCAGCACCAACACACAATTGTTAAAGGAGCAGTCTTTTGCTTCCACAGATGCAGCTAGTTCAGATGAGGGGAGGAAGAAAATACAGGCTGAGTGAGTGCAATGGAACTCAGTGGGCTCAGGGGACAGGCTGTCCCAATGAGCCCAGGAATTCTCCCGCTATCAGAATAAACCTGGTTTCATAAACAGTTTTTTCTATCAGGGGACATTTCAGAATTGCTGAAAACCTACAGACAGCATCTCTGAAGGTCACTTTCATGTCTCTTTTTGCTAACTTGCAAGAGATTCCTTGGTTCCTCAGGAGCAGGCATATTTTGCTGGGAGAGACTTAAGGCTGTGGAACTGGGAGTCCTGGGTGACACTCATTTGCATTTCAAAGAGTCTGAAAAGTCTCACAAAAAAGAGAGTTAAGGGCCGGCCGGCCGAGTGGCGCGATGGTTAAGAGCTCGCTTGGGATGCCAGAGGGCCCCGGTTCGGATCCCACATATGAGGGCCAGTGACACTGCCCTCTACAGCTAAGAT